AAGTGTGACATTAGGCTGGTCAATTTAAATACTGTGGCTCCCTGTTGGATAGACATACAATCTTTACACCCAAATGTTAATGCATACAAAGCAACAAGGCATTGTTAAATAAAACAGCAATAGTTACTGCAAATGAGGCCTTGTGACCAACTACACATGACTAAAATTACTTCCCACATTCACATCCACAGTACTCGTCCACCATTTAACCTCTCAACCAAAACGTTACACGTGTGAAACAACCACTAACGGGCAAAAATACTAAAGCTGTATATTTGGTATTGCAAATACACTTATGCATGAGCAAGCAAGGGATTCACAGTGAGAGTCTACAGCTGCAGAAGCCTGAAAATGGTTTACAAAAATTGTTAAATCATTAAAGATTGTTTGAAAATATATACTTCTTGTTGTAGCCCACTGCTGTACACACAACTATAAACATTGTTCCCTTTGTAAACAAAAAAGAAAACATATATAATAAGGAACCTTGAAAAGTCTGGACATTCCCTTCTCAACAGATATTAAAGGCAACGTCTTTAATCTAAGACATACTGAAAGGACTGTCATTTTAAAGACAAGATCACTGTCTCTACAGGTTTTTGAAAAATTAAAAAAACTACATAGCTGTGTTAATCAAAGCGGTTATTTTGTACAAAACAATGATAATGACCTTGATTTAAAAAAAAAAAAAAACATGGGCTGAAGAGATGGCTCAGTGGTCTAAAGCACCTACTTAGAACAAGCTTAGGGGCTGGTGAGATGGCTCAGTGGTCTAAAGCACCTATTTAGAACAAGCTAAGCTAAGCAAAGCACATGGACCGTGGTTCAATCCCCCAGCACCACATGCCAGCCAGCCCCGCCCCCTGGTGGGCTGAGCTGGACACACACACGTACACACACACGTACACACACACAAATAAATAAAATTTTTTAAAAAATACAATAAGCTACAAGTATCAAAGAAGCAAAGTAATCTGGAGTAGTCTATATAGAAGCTCTTTGAACTTTCTTCTCTTATGCCAACATAGTGGTGCTTTTAGGATTTACATTATTGTACTCTCCAATACAAAGTATGGAGTGTGTTAAAGTATACAGTACACCATTTTCATACATGTACAATATTGGTGGATGAAGAAATGTCTCTTAGCAGTAATACTGGATGTAGCCTCTGGTTTTACCAGCTGCATACTCTGGGACTATTATATAAGTAAAAATCTCTCTTGTGATACTGGGAAATGATTAGAATGTACAAACTGACAGAGTAGCTTACATCTGCCTCTTACAGAGTACCACCACAGGAAAGTCCATTTAAGATGTTGCTAGGTTTAACAAAGTTGGAATGCTGGCACTGTTGAACTGTGCAACAATTCTTCAGACCTGGCTCAGAGCTACAATCCGTTTAGTATGTTAAAGCAATTGACATGACTTTTCGCTGGCCGTCACAGGCACTGGAGTTTTTCTGTTAATTTGCTGCACTAGGTCATGAAAGATCTCATTAACATTTAATTTTGATTTTGCAGAAGAGTCTAAGAATGCACAGCTGTTCCACTGTCTTGCTAGATTTTGACCTTGTTCCTTTCCTACAACTCTTTCATCTTCCAAGTCACATTTATTACCAACCAGAATCATTGGAACATCATCAGTGTCTTTAACTCGAAGAATCTGTTCTCAGATCTTATAAATCATTAAATGTGGACTGTGCGGTGATGGAATAAACTAAAGCAAAGCCTTGTCCATTTTTCATGTATAAATCTCTCATTGCTGTAAATTGTTCCATTCGTGCAGTATCCAAAATTTCAAGCATACACTGCTATGCATCTACTTCAACTTGCATTCTATAAGAATCTTCTATGGTACGATCATATTTTTCTTTTTTGGCTGGCTTAGAATGCCTTCAGGGCATGTTTGGCTGGCTGGAGTTGTGGGGATCGAACCACAGCAACCCGAGGCTGACTGCTTTGTTGAAGTGCCCACTTAAACAACTGAGCTAAGGGGTAGGCCCCAGGATCATATTTTTCAACAAAAATTCCTTGAACATATTGTACAGTCAGGGCAGACTTCCCAACACCTCCTGAGCCAAGAACGACTAGCTTATACTCACCCATGATACCAACTTGTCAAACAAGGTACCTCTCACTCTGTCACCAGGTCGCTTTCCTGGCAAGTGCAAGGGTCTGAGTTCAATCCCCGGTTCTGGAAAAAAAAAAAAAAAAATCTATCTTAAAGTGAATGTGAAGATTTGAGCCTCTTTATTTGCATGATTTTGTGGGGTTTTCTGGATTAAAAGAGTAGCAAACATTTTCACAGGTCACCTAAGGCTTCTCACAAGAAGAGCTAGCCTGAAATATTTGACAAGACCCCATTTCAGGGGCCAGGGAGATGGCTCAGTAGAATAAATGCTTCCCTGGCAAGTGTAAGGGTCTGAGTTCAATCCCCAGTTCTGAAAAAAAAAAGACCCTGTTTCAGCAGCAGCACAGCAAAAAAGTAAGAATACACAGCCAAGATCACCTATGTTAAGGACATCCCCTTAAATATACACAGCTCTCAGGGTTCAATTCCTGGTGTGCCCTGCTGGCTCCACCCCCAGGGCCTGCTGAGCTGTGATTGAGACTGAGTGTGGTGGTGCGCACCTGTAATCCCAATGCATAAGAGGCTGAAAACAGGAGGATCACTTCTAGTCTGATCTAAACATAGTGAGGGGCTGGTGAGATGGCTCAGTGGTCTAGAGCACCT